CCCCCCAATTTTTCCCATTTCCCCCCCAATTTTTCCCTGTTTTCCCCCCAATTTTTCCCCGTTTTTCCCCCAATTTTTCCCCGTTTTTCCCCCAATTTTTCCCCGTTTTTCCCTGTTTTCCCAGGCGTGGCCCTGCTGGCCAACGCTCCGGAGCGCGTTCCCGAGCGGAGGCGGCGGCTCCGGGACGGCCTCGGGGACAGCAGGGCCGGAATTCCGGCCGGGAATGTCAAACCCTCATCCCGAGGAGCCAAGCACCGGATCCTGGCCCAGCGGGAGGAGCAGCTGCCCATCCACAGGGTGGGAATTCCCCCGTTTTCCCGGAATTTTTAGCCCTGGGAATGGTGGGATTTAAGGATTGGGAATGTTGGGTGGGGATGGATCCGATCCCGATCCAATCCCAATCTGTGGGCAGGGAACTTTCCAGAATTCCCAGGAAAAAGGGGGAAAAGAGAGGAAATTTCACTGGGAAAAAGAGGGAATTCCAGTGGGAAAAAGAGGGAATTCCAGTGAGAAAAAGAGAGGAAATTTGAGCAGGAAAAGGGGGGAAAAGAGAGGGAATTCTAGTGGGAAAAGGGGTAACATGGAATAAATACTGGAATTCTGGAAGTGCCATAAAACAGGGAATAAATCCTGGAATTCACGGGGCTGGAAGGGACCTGAAATTTGGGATAAACAGGGAATAAATCCTGGAATTCTCGGGGCTGGAAGGGACCTGAAATCTGGGATAAACAGGGAATAAAATCCTGGAATTCTGGAGGTGGGAAGGCACCTTCAACCCCATCTCAAGATCCCAAACTCACGCTTTTCCCTCTGGATCGGGGCGGATTCGGAGCCCGTTTTTTCCGGAATTCCGGGTGATTTGGGGTTTTTTGGGAATTGCCAATCCCGCAGGAGCGGCTGAGCCAGGTGCTGCGGGATCTGGAAGAGGAAAGAGCCCCGGTGGTGAAGCTGGGGGACGCCAGCATCGCCGCTCCCTTCACCTCCAAACTCTCCTCCATCCAGTGCAGTGAGTGCCCAGCCCGGAAAAACCGGGAAAAACCCCGGGAAAGGGATTGGAATGGGATAAACCCCAAGTGAGCCCGCTCCAGATGGAAATTCCCAAAATCTGGGGCTCTTGGGGTCCGGATTTGAGGCTCAGAATATCCTTGGTTTTATCCTAAATAGTCCTGAGCCTGTTCCATTCCCAAAATGGAATGGGAATGTTGGGAATTCCCAAAATTGGGAGCTCTTGGAATTTGAGGCTCAGGATGTTCCACGTTATTCTAAAGAGTTCTGAGCCCATTCCAGCTCTGAATTCCCAGAATTTGGAACACTTGGGCTCTGGTTTGAAGCTCAAAATATCCTTGGGTTTATCCTAAAAAATCCTGAACCCATCCCATCCCTAAATTCCCAAATCCATTAAAACCCCGGGCCAAATTCTGTTTTCCCACATTTTTTCCCCTCATGGCAGCCTCACATCCCCTCACCCTTTTCCCACCCTTTTTCCCTCTTTTCCTGCTCTTCTTCCCTCTTTTCCCACCCTTTTTCCCTCTTTTCTCGCTCATTTTCCCTCTTTTCTCACTCATTTTCCCCTCATGAGGGCCTCACACCCCTTCACCCTTTTCCCGCCTTTTTTTCCCCTCATGGTGGCCTCACTCCCCCTCACCCTTTTCCTACCCTTTTTCCCACCCTTTTTCCCTCTTTTCCTTATTTTCTTCCCTCTTTTCCCACCTTTTTTCCCTCTTTTCCCACCGTTTTCCCCTCTTTTCCCACCCTTTTTCCCTCTTTTCCCCCCGTTTTCCCCTCTTTTCCCACCCTTTTTCCCTCTTTTCTCGCTCATTTTCCCTCTTTTCTCACTCATTTTCCCCTCATGAGGGCCTCACACCCCTTCCCCCTTTTCCCGCCTTTTTTTCCCCTCATGGTGGCCTCACTCCCCCTCACCTTTTTCCTACCCTTTTTCCCACCCTTTTTCCCTCTTTTCTCGCTCATTTTCCCTCTTTTCTCACTCATTTTCCCCTCATGAGGGCCTCACACCCCTTCCCCCTTTTCCCGCCTTTTTTTCCCCTCATGGTGGCCTCACTCCCCCTCACCTTTTTCCTACCCTTTTTCCCTCCCTTTTTCCCTCTTTTCCCATTCTTTTTCCCTTCATGAGAGCTCCCCCTCACCCTTTTTCCCTCTTTTCCCACACTTTTTCCCTCTTTTCCCACCCCCACACCCCTCACCCTCTTCCCGCCTTTTTTCCCCTCATGGCGGCCTCACTCCCCCTCACCCTTTTCTCCCCTTTCCCCCCTGGCTTTTCCCTGCTCTCTAATTCCCAGAATTCCCGTTTTTTCCCCTCAGTCTGCCACGTAATCAAGCAGGGTCGCTGCACGCTGGTGACCACGCTGCAGATGTTTAAAATCCTGGCTCTGAACGCTTTGGTGCTGGCCTACAGCCAGAGCGTGCTGTTCCTTCAGGGAGTCAAATTCAGCGACCTCCAGGCCACGCTCCAGGGGCTGCTCCTGGCTGGATGCTTCCTTTTCATCTCCAGGTCCAAGGTAATTCCGGGAATTCCATGGGAAAAGGGTTGGAGTAGGAAAAAAAAATCCCACTCAAAATAAAGAAGGAAAAAAAATCCCACTCAAAATAAAAAAGCGAGTTCGGAGTCACAAAATGGCGGTTCCTGAAGGAGGAAGGGTGGGATCGTCCTGGATCTGGGATTATCCCAAAGTTTCATCTCCGAGTCCAAGGTGGGAGATGGGAATTCCATGGGATTTATCCTAAATTAGGGAATCGGGGGGGGTTTTTTCACCTAAAAAATGGGGTTTATGGTCAGAAAATGGTGTTTTCTGAAGGTGGGAGTAGGGTTTGGGATGGCTCCCAAAGCTCCAAATCCAAGGTGAGAGCCAAGAATTCCGTGGGATCTGGAAAAATTAGGGAAAAAGGGGCTTTTCCCCAAAAATATCCCATTTATTATAAGAAATTCTTGTTTTTTGAAGGTGGAGGGGTGGGACAGTTGGATTTGGGGTTCTCCCAAGGATATTCCTCCCCTCAGGATCTCAATTTTTGGGATGAACAGCAGGAAAAGACAGGAAAGAGCCATAAAAAAAGGCCCAAATTGAGGCTTTTCCATGGAAATCTGGAATTTTGAGGGGAAAAAAAAGCCCCTAAATCCCAATTTCCACAGGAATAAAACACCCCCAAACCCCCTCCCAGATTTAAAAACCCCCACAGAATTCCCTGAAAAATCTTGGGATTTGGACTAAACTTTGGGATTTGGACTCTAGCTCATCCCATCCCACATTCCTGGTTTTTATTCCCCTTTTTTTTTAACCCTTCCAGCCCCTGAAGACTCTTTCCAAGGAGAGGCCTCTTCCCAACATTTTCAACCTGTACACGGTGCTGACGGTGTTGTTGCAATTCCTGGTGCATTTCCTGAGCCTGGTGTTCCTGTACCGGGAAGCGCAGGAGCGGAGCGAGCCCAGGTCAGCCTCTGATCCCAAAAAAAATTCCCAAAAAGTTACCAAAAAGTTAGCAAAAAATTCCTAAAAAGTTCCCAAAAAATTACGACAAAGTTACCAAAAAATTCCCCCAAAATTACCAAAAAGTTCCCAAAAAAAATCCCAGAAAGTTCCCAAAAAATTCCCTTAAAAGTTCCCAAAAAATTCCCGAAAAAGTTCCCAAAAAAATCCCAAAAAATTCCCAAAAAGTTACCAAAAAATCCCCAAAAAATTCCAAAAAAATTCCCAAGAAGTTCCCAAAAAATTCTGGGATTGAGGGCTTTAATCACAAAGAATTCCAGGATTTTCCCCAATTAAAACTGGGATTTTTTGAGGGATCGATTTATCCCATTTTATCCCGATTTTCCCATGGGCAGGGAGGTGGAATTTGTGGATCTGAGCCGGGAATTCCCATTTTTCCAGCTCCCAAACCCACTTTACACCCAATTTTAACCCAATTTTAACCAGGATTTTTTGAGGGGTGGATCCCAGGGTGGATCCCGAGGCTGATCCCGATTTTTCCATGGGCAGGGAGGAGGAATTTGTGGATCTGAGCCGGGAATTTGAGCCGTCGCTGGTGAACAGCACCGTGTACCTGCTGGCCATGGCCATGCAGACAGCCACCTTCGCCATCAACTACAAGGTGGGAAATTCGGGAACATTCCCAACTTTTCCCAGCTTTTCCCAACTTTCCCAGCTTTTTTCCCTCATTTTTCCCGTTTTTCCCAGTTTTTCCTTCTGATTTTTCCAGTTCCCATCCCAGTTTTTCCCTTTTTCCATCCCCGTTTTTCCCTTTTTCCATCCCCGTTTTTCCCTTTTTCTCTCCCTGTTTTTCCCTTTTTCCATCCCTTTTTCCCAGTTTTTTCCTTCCAGTTTTTCCCAGTTTTCCCATCGTTTTTATTCCAGTTTCTCCTCATTTTTCCCAGTTTTTCCTGCCCATTTTTTCCCGGTTTCTCCTCCCCTTCTGCCCATCACTCCAGTCCCACCAGTATAAACCAGTGCCCCAAAACTCCCTCCCAGTATAAACCAGTATAAACCAGTCCCTCCCAGTCCCCTCCCAGTGCCCCAAAACTCCCTCCCAGTCTCTCCCAGTGCCCTCCCAGTATAAACCAGTCCAAAGCAGTCCCCTCCCACTCGCCTCCCAGTGCCATCAAACCCCATTTATTGCTCCAAAACCTCTCGGAATTGGCTCCCACCGCCCTCCCAGTATAAACCAGTCCCTCCCAATCCCCTCCCAGTGCCCTCCCAGTATAAACCAGTCCAAACCAGTGCCTCAAAACTCCCTCCCAGTGCCCCCCAACTCCCTCCCAGACCAAACCAGTCCAAACCAGTGCCTCAAAACTCCCTCCCAGTGCCCCCAAAACTCCCTCCCAGTGCCCTCCCAGTCCCTCCCAGTGCCCTCCCAGTATAAGCCAGTTTGTTTTTGTGGCAGGGCCGGCCGTTCATGGAGAGCCTGGCCCAGAACCGGGCGCTGCTCTGGGCCCCCCAGTCCAAACCAGTCCAAACCAGTGCCCCAAAACTCCCTCCCAGCGCTCCCAACTCCCTCCCAGTCCAAACCAGTCCAAACCAGTGCCCCAAAACCCCATTTTACTGCTCCAAAACCTCTTGGAATCGGCTCCCAGTGCCCCCAAAACTCCCTCCCGATGCCCTCCCAGTGCCCCCAACTCCCTCCCAGTGCCCTCCCAGTGCCCTCCCAGTATAAACCAGTTCGTTTTTGTGGCAGGGCCGGCCGTTCATGGAGAGCCTGGCCCAGAACCGGGCGCTGCTCTGGGCTCTGCTGCTCTCGGCCGGGGCCGTGCTGGGGCTGCTCAGCGGAGCCTGCCCCGAGCTGGGGGTGGCCTTCGGTCTGGTGCACATCCCAACCGAGGTGAGCGGAATTCCGGGAATTCCTGGGAATTCTCAGCATTCCAGGGGGAATTCCCGGGATTTTGGGAGGGACTGGGGCCGTTTCTGGGGGGGATTCCCGGGATTTTGGGGGAGATTCCCGGGGATCAGCGGAGCCTGCCCCGAGCTGGGGGTGGCCTTCGGTCTGGTGCACATCCCAACCGAGGTGAGCGGAATTCCGGGAATTCCTGGGAATTCTGTGAGGGATTGGGGTCATTCCCGGGATTCTGGGGGGGATTGGAGCCGTTTCTGGGGGAATTCCCAGGATTCTGGGGGGAATTCCCACCATTCCAGGGCCGTCTTGGGGCCATTCCAGGGCAATTCCCAGGATTCTGGAGGTGAATTCCCGCCGTTCCCGCCAGGAACGTTCCAGAATTCCAGCTGGGGTGGGATCCACGCCCCATTCCCATGGAACATTCCAGAATTCCCGGGGATTTGGGGCTGATTCCCACCCAGAACATTCCGGAATTCCCTCATTCCGGGTGGGATTGGGCTGAAATCCCAAGAGTTCGGGGATTTGGGGCCGATTCCCGTGGGGAACATTCCGGAATTCCCTCTTTTCCCAGTTCCGGCTGCTGATCCTGGCGAGATCCAGGGTGGGATTGGGGTGAAATCCCAGGGATTTGGGGATTTGGGGATGGGAATTCAGGGATTTGGGGCCCGATTCCCGTGGGGAACATTCCGGAATTCCCTCTTTTCCCAGTTCCGGCTGCTGATCCTGGCGGTGCTGGCGGCCGATTTCCTTCTGGCCTTTTCCGTGGATCGGCTCCTGCAGCTCCTGCTGGGCAATTCCCGCCTCCCGGTGCCTTCCTGAGGGCTCCTCCCGCATTCCCAAAATCCCAAAAATCCCCCCAAATCCCCCAAATCCCCCAAATCATGGAATCCACCGCCCTCCGGCCAAGGAGGATCCCGGATTTTTAGCCTTTCCCGGCAGCTTTCCAGGTGGATTTCTCGGGAGTTTTTTTCAGGATTTCCCCGGAGTTTCTCGGGGTTTTTTTTTTCCCAGGAATTTTTTGGGAATTTGGCAGTTGGAGAAAAAAATTCCTGATCAAGGCGAGGGTTTTTTTTTTTTTTTGTCTGGAAATAGTTTGGAATTCTTTTTGCTTGGGGGGAAAAATGGGAATGGGAGGAAATAAAAATAGCCTGGATTTTGGGGGTGGGGTTGTGGATCCTGAAATCCACAAAAATTGGGAATTAAACTCAAAAATAGGGGATTCAACAAAAAAAAACGGGAATTAAACCCCAAAAAACTGGGAAATTAACAAAATAAAAAGGGAATTAAACACAAAAGGCGGGAATTAAACCTCAAAGCTGGGAATTAAAACAAAAAATCCGGGAATTAACCACGAAAATTGAGGATTAAACCGAAAATCCGGGAATTAAACCCAAAAAATAGGAATGTCCGCGACTCCTGTGGGAGCTCCTGGGTCCCGCCCCTGCCCCGCTGGGATTGGCTGAGGCCGGTGAGTGACAGCCGCGCTGGCCAATGAGAAGCGCCGTCATCGCAAAGGCGGGAGCGCCATGCACCCGTCTGTGATTGGCTGCGAGAGCTGAGTGACAGCCGCGCGGACCAATTAGTAACGCCACCGCCACAGAGGCGGGAACGCGGGAGCCTTGAGCAGCCGGAATTACCGGAGGACACCGGGGACCCCCAGTCTTTGTTAACGGCGGCACCGGGAGCGCGGCCCCCGTCCGGGAAAAGCTCCGGAAACCGCCCCGGCAGCGCCGCGGCCTCGGGATAGGGCCCGGAGCGGGAACGGAGCCGCCGCTGCCCCGTGAGGGGATGCCCCGCCCCTCCGCCGCTCTGAGAGCTGTGATTGGCTGATATCTCTTGATTGACAGGCGCCAGAGCCAATAGGAAGTGAACCCCCGCTCGCAGGCCGTGAGGCAATAATTAATCCGTAATTAATCAGTAATCGATCAGTAATTAATGACCCATCCAGCCGGCCCGGAGTGCGGTCAGAACCGGTAAAAAAAAAAAACGAACCGAGAAAAGAACATTTACAGCAGCGGCCCCCGAGGCCGGCGGGGGGACATTGGGGACACTGAGGGGACATCGGGACCCCTCCCCCACCCCTCAGGGGACATTGGGGACATTGAGGGGTCCCGGGACCCCCCCCGGGGACACTGAGGGGTCCTGGGGACACTGAGGGGACATCGGGACCCCCCAGTGTCACCCCAGGGCCGGGGGGGGGGGACATTGGGGACATTGGGGGGGACACGGGGGGTCCCGGGCCCCGTGGGAAAGTGCTAGAACGTGGGGGGGGGAGGGGTCCCCCAGGTTTGGGGACACCGAGGGGACGTTTTGGGGACACTTTGGGGACGTTTTGGGTCGTCGGTGCCACCGTCGGTGCCTCAGAAGCCATCGGGGTCCCCGGGGGGTGGCGGGGGGGTCCCGGCGGTGCTCGGGCGGTGCCCGAGGGGCTTCTCCTCCTCCTGAACGTGCATTGGGGACACCTTGGGGACATCGGGGGGGATTGGGGACATTGGGGACACCTCAGGGCCACCTTGGGGACACCTTGGGGACATTTTCTGGACACTGGGGTGGGGACAAGACTCAGCCCCTGGGGGATCCAGGCTGTCCCCAAGGTCCCCCCTGGGACCCCAAATCGCCAAACCCCAAAAACCCCAAACCCCCAAAATCCCAAATCCCCAAAACCCCAACCCCTGGGAATCCCCAAAATCCCAAATCCCATTTTTTGCGGTTCCCGTTCCCCCCCCCTCCCCCCAGGTGGGCTCAGGACACCTTTGGGACCCCCCCCCGTTTTTTGGGGTCACTCACGGCCTCGGCGCTGCCCCACTCGGCCGCGTCCTCCTCGCCCCGCAGCGACTCCGGGCCCTCGTCCTCCAGCTCCGTCAGGTAATCGGATTCCTCTGCGAGCGGCGCGGGGTCAGCCACGAACCCGGACCCCAAACCCGGACCCCAAATCCGGACCCAAACCCAGACCCAAACCCGGACCCCAAATCCGGACCCAAACCCGGACCCCAAACCCGGACCCAAACCCGGACCCCAGACCCAAACCCGGACCCCAAACCCAGACCCCAAACCTGGACCCCAAACCCAAACCCGGACCCAAACCCAGACCCCAAATCCGGACCCAAATCCGTGCCCCCCTCACACCATCCCCTCTGTCCCCGCTGTCCCCGTCCCCGCTGTCACCGTCGCCGTAGCCGTCGCTCAGGTAGGGCTGGGCGGGTTCGATGCGCGAAACGATCTCGGCCAGGTCAGTGAAACCGGCGCTGGGACAGGTGAGCACCTGAGGGGACACGGGGGGGACACCTGAGAACCTGGGGGACACCTGGGGGACACCTGAGAACCTGGGGGACACCTGGGGGACACCTGAGAACCTGGGGGGACACCTGGGGGACATCTGAGAACCTAGGAGAACACTTGGGGACACCTGAGGGACACTTGAGGGACACCTGAGAACCTGAGGGACACCTGAGGGGACACCTAAGCACATGTGGCCCTTGTGTCCCTCCCCAGCTGTCCCCAGGTGTCCCCAGCTGTC